GGAGGGCACTGTTTAGAGGCCTCAGGACTACAGAGTGGCTTTTGTAGCTGGTGTCTAGGATGCCATTGGTAGCCTGGGGTGGGGAGGGGACACAAGGCGCAGGCCCCTGGTTGATCTGTTGATATGGGACTAGGGCAGTACCTTGAGAAAAGATGGACACACGGAGGCTGGAGAAGGGTCTCTGACAGCATCCTATCTATACCCCCGGAGCATGGTGTGGAGACCAAGTTACTGGGCCTGATTGCTATGAGTGATGTGTGTGTGTGTGTGTGTGTGTGTGTGCGCGCGCGCGTGCGTGCGTTTTGATTGAGTTTACACTGGAGTGGTAAACTCAGGTGGAGTTTTCACTGGAATTTACACTAGGCTGAACTGGATCTAGGTGGGAATCTCTGGTCTTCGGGTATGGCTTGGATCAGTTAACTCCGCCCCCAGTGCTCCAAAGACTTGAATGGTCATGAGGGGCCATGTTTATTCTTGCCTGCAGGTGGCACTCAAGGGGCCAAGTCATGGGTTCCCCTTTCTCCTCTTCTGATTGCTGCTCTCCCCCCACACACACACACACTTGCTAAGGCATCATTAATTCCATCAATGGGACCTCCCCACTGACACGTTGCTACTACTTTCTCCCCTCTGAGACTTCTTTGGGGGCTCTAGAAGATGCTGTGTCATATCGAGGCCAGCCAGTTTTCTCTGCAGAAGCTAGTATCTAGACATTAGGAAGCAAACAACCAGGCCTTGAGAAGGGCATTGGGAGAAAAGAGCCTGTGGAGGATTTGGTACAAATAGGGCACTGTCTTTGAGAACCAGAGTGGGTATAAGGGTATATATACTTCCCAGTGTTACTCAAACCTGGAGATGGGGACTCTACCAGAGAGAGGGGCTGTGGTTTGGCAGGGGCAGATGCAAGACAGTCACTCCCTTTTCTGGAGAGAGGGCCAGTGACAGCCTTATATTAAGTAGGGAACATTTAGCCTGAGGATCCCTCAACACTTGGGATGGGAAGTATGAACCATCTCTAGCCGATCTTGAAGTTGTAGGCTCTAAAATTCTGTGGGCTGCCCATAACAGGTCAGGTTGCCTTCCTGGGTCCTGATGGTTGCTTGGACCATCTCTGGAGGATGAGGCTGGCAGGCACCTGCAAGGTGTGCCAGGCATTCACTAGGGAAGGACAGAGCATGGCCAGAGCATACTTGGGAAGTATGGAACTCAGAGTGCCTGGTCCAGCCCTGAGCAACCCAGGCACCCTCTCAAGGAGCAGCGTATGGACTGTGGCAGAAGAGAGGGACACAGGCTAGGTAGAGCGAGGACCTCTGTGCACGCTACAGTGGCTGCAGGGCCACTTCCTGTGGGAGAGCATCTGGCTCGGCTGTCCTCCTTCCCTAGCTCCTGGCCATCATGGTTTTCTGAAACTTGCTACCTAGGTGAGTCCATCTTGCCCAGCCTGACTGGTTCATCTCCCTCTGGACAGTCGAGTGGGTGTACCTCTGAGGCTGGGCTGTCCAGCACATTATATAAATACTCCTTTCCTGTGCTCGTATAAATGAACATATCTGTGTAGACAGGGGTTACACAGACAGTGTGAGTGCAGTCACACAAGGGACACATGACCTCTCCACCTTCCCATCTCAGTGACGGCCACTGAGATGCCCCCACTTGTCCACCAGTCATTGCTGTGGCCTTCTGTCCCCACTGATAAGGGTCTCCTCCCTCTCTCCTTGCTATTGTGTCCCCTGACATCGCAGATGCCTCTGATGAAGATTAGATGAGGCCTGAAGCACAACTCTCAGCAATCCACTTGGGCTTGTTGGGGCTGAGAAGGAGGAGAGGGACGTTATGGGTGGAGCCAGGCAGGGGGCTGCAGGCCTCTGCTGAAGGGCTATGGAGGCAGGCTCAAGTGTAGGCAGGGGACCAGTGCATTCACACCCAGGATTCTTCCTAGACCCTCCTGTGACAGAGGACAGCCAGGCCCTGCTATGGCTCTCTCTTATATTGGTTGTGATGCTTCTGGGCCAGGTGTGCTTTTTCCCAAGCAGAGATGAGGCAAGCTCAAATCCAAGGCTCTCAACCTGTGGGTCGCAACCCCCATGGAGGGGATGAGGGAGTCCTGCATATCCTGTATTTACATTGCGATTCATAACAGCAGTAAAATTACAGTTATGAAGTTGTCGCAAAATAATTTTATGGTTGTGGGAGTCACAACATGATCTGTGTTAAAGGGTTGCAGCATTAGGGAGGTTGAGAACCACAGGTCTAAAGAAGTCCAGAATATCTGGAAGAGACCTGAGCCTTACCACCTCCCTCCCTTGGTGTCCCTGTGTCCCTCTACAGGAGTTTTCAGAACCTGTTTGAGGAGTCCATAGGTGGTGTTTGTTGAAGACCTTGGGGGTTTCCAGGACTATGGTTGCCTGACAAGACACTGGACAGTGCCCTCATCTGCCCCTTCTTGTGCCTCTCACTGGAATCTCCTCTGTTCTTAATAACTAGTCCAGAAATGTCCCCCTCTCGGTCCCCTATTAGTTGGCTCTGGCTCTAGGCCCTTCTTCTTGCTTCCTCCTTGGCCTCTTTTGCCCCCTACCCCAGTCCGTAAGTGAACCCCTGGCTGTCTGGTGGGCTCCTTTAAGGGACAGTTCTGTGGCTATACTGCCACTGGCCTCCCTGGCTACCTTCTGCCCCTTGGTTAGACATTTAGAACCTATTTCCATGTCCAATATTCAAGGAATAGTTGGCCATCCTGCAGGAGTTGACCAGTGACAAGAGTCTGGCCAGCAGGGACACTGGCAGGCCTGCACCCAACTAGTGCCCTGAGTTCCTGGGATGGTGGCAAGCGAGGGCAAGGCAGGGATCCTCTGAGGACCTTGACCATTTGTGAAGTAGATCCAAAACAAGAGTCCTTAGGCTATTCACTGCAATGACAGACAGAGTTCAGGTACAGGGCCATGTGTACCATGTTTGGTCCTTCCAAGAACTGATATGGGCTTGCCTGTGTTTGTCACCAAATTGACCCTTGGAGGCCAGTGCCACAGCCCATATGTCTCTAGGGAGACACCACTGATACTGCTACACTGCCTGGCTAGGTTTCCAAAGGATGCCGGAGGCCTGAAGGTGCTTGTATTTGTCCTCAGATCCGGAAGTGGGGCTTCAGAACCAGCATTATGGGGAGTGGGCCCAAGGAGCCAGTGGTCCTTCCAAGCTATGCAGGCCCCTTGGTAAAAGGCAGTGGATTAGTGGGGTGATCACAGCTGTGAGTTGTGGTTCCCAAGATGACCTGGGTTTCCCAAGTGCCACTCGGGCTGGGCAGAGTGAGGTCAGCTGGCCTGGGTTTGTGTAGTGACAGCCTGGGTGGCTGTCCCAGGCCTAGGTGAGTGTTTCCTCCGGACCTTACCAACATTACCCTGGGCCTGGTGCTGATCCCTGCTTTTCATGGGGTGAGAGTATGCTCTGCTGAGGGACTGGTATCGGGAACAACAGAATGAGGGGCCGACTGAGACCCTGGCCATAGCTTCTCTGGTTCTGTAATGGGGAGGATGGTCAGGGAGGCAGTGGGAGGCCATAGCAGAGGTCATTCCTAAGGTGTTTACCTTGGAGCTGGTAGAGGTAGGAGAGCTGGGAAGTGCTTTCCAGGGTGCCTGGAGGCACCAGGGTTAGAAGTTAGCAGAGCAGGTTTGGACTTTTTAAAGACCACGAAGGGACTGGAATGTGTTGCTTTGACCCTCCTTCTGGGAGCAGTTGGGGTCCTGCCCATTCTATAGATGCATAAACAGAGACTTTGTGAGGACCGGCCAGCTTCAGCCATCCCGGCTTCCATCAGCTCAGAACCTCCACCCAGGCTGGGGCTGGGCCTGGAGGCTGCTGTCCAGGAGGCAGTCCAGGAAGGACGCCAGGACGAGATGCAGCGCTGTGACTGACCTTGAATCGCTGGACAGTTTGGGCCCAGGCTGCATAGAGAGTCCCCGGGGTGGGGCCAGGCTGCTACACAAGCAGGGTCAGCAGAGCCAATGAGTCTGCTCCCAGAGGCTGAGAGGGCAAGAAAGGAGGGGCTTGGCTATAACCTCCCTTCTTCCCTTACTGGCTCAGCTGTGGAGGGACAATGCGGAAACTGATACCTTCAGCAGAGCAGATCTAGGCTGGATGGCACATAGCAAGCATGCTGAGCCAGACTAGGTTTCCAGTCCTTGCCCTCAGGAGTGCACAGTGAAACACCCACTGGTGCCCCTTTTTGAAGATGGGAGTGTTTCCCAGAGGCGCTCATCATCAGTCCAGGGTTTGGGTTGTAGTCTATTACCCACTCCCTGTGACCTTAAGGAAGCCCAATATCCTCTATGCCTCAGCTTCCTCATCCTGAATTGTGGGGTGACTGTGTGGCCATTCAGAGCTGCGGGTAAGGGGAGAGTCAATGAGGCAGGTAGTAGAGAAAGGGAGGACATTCCCAGCACGGCATTCCCAGCCTGGCGTGCACGGTGCAGGGACTGCCATGGATGGGAAGCAGACAGTGGGTGCTGTCATAACAGCACCGTGTCAGAAGCCCTTCATCTCCAGGCCTGCTTTGTACCCTGTTAAAGCAGCCCATACTCGTTCCATGTCTGTGGAAAGCTCTGGAGTCTTTGGGGAGCCCTGGAGATGCCATGGTGACCTCTCTTCTCTTCCTTCCTACCTGTCTGATTGTCAGATTCTCAGGAAGGAGGAAGACCCCTGAGAAGGGAGTGGAGGTCAAGAGAGGTTGGGAGGGAGAGGCCATGATAAACCAGGCATGGCAGAGAGGCCTGAGGAGAACGGCATGTCTTTTCTCAGGAAGGGAGAGGACGAGGTACAGTGTCTCATGAGTTGGACCACTGGTGGAGACCGAGATGCAGGTGGACAGAGCACGTGTCTGGGAGGACACCAGGGCCATATACCACCCAAAGCCTCATGCCTGGCTAGACTTACTGAGCTCCTGCTTCTTCAAGTCCTGAGCCCATGCCCCCAGAGGCTTACACTATCCCTCTGCTTTTTCTTCCAGCTACCATTGGAGGCCACAGGCAAACACCAGGAGCCTGGACTTTAGGAATCATCGCTGCTCTCACTGTCTCCTGAGACCCTGCCCTGTCCCCACCTTGCCTTCACCCAGACCCTGCCTCCGGCCCACTGCTCTGGACGGCCCTGTTTGCTGCCGGACCCTGGCATGTCAAGGCCTGGCCTGCACTTGCCTGCCCAGCCCGCGGAACCCCAGCGGCCCCGCGAGCTAGGATGAGGGGCCAGGCTGCCGCCCCGGGCCCCATCTGGATCCTTGCTCCACTCCTGCTGCTACTACTGCTACTGGGGCGCAGGGCACGTGCTGCTTCTGGGGCAGACATAGGGCCTGGGGCGGAGCAGTGCACCACGCTGGTGCAGGGCAAGTTCTTCGGCTACTTCTCGGCAGCTGCTGTGTTCCCAGCCAACGCCTCACGCTGCTCTTGGACCCTTCGCAACCCGGACCCTCGTCGCTACACGCTCTACATGAAGGTGGCCAAGGCACCTGCACCCTGCAGCGGTCCTGGCCGCGTCCGTACCTACCAGTTCGACTCCTTCTTGGAGTCCACGCGGACCTACCTGGGTGTAGAGAGCTTTGACGAAGTTCTGCGGCTCTGCGATCCTTCTGCACCCCTTGCCTTCCTACAGGCCAGCAAGCAGTTTCTACAGATGCAGCGCCAACAGCCACCCCAAGATGGTGACCTTGGTCCCCGGGGAGGGTTCCCAAACTCTGGTGACGACTTCTCTGTGGAGTACCTGGTCGTGGGCAATCGCAACCCCAGCCATGCTGCCTGTCAGATGCTCTGCCGCTGGCTGGATGCCTGTCTGGCTGGCAGCCGCAGCTCACACCCCTGTGGCATCATGCAGACTCCCTGTGCCTGCCTGGGTGGAGATGCTGGAGACCCTGCTTCCAGCCCTTTGGTCCCCCGTGGGGATGTCTGCTTGAGGGACGGCGTAGCAGGTGGCCCCGAGAACTGCCTCACCAGCCTGACCCAGGATCGGGGTGGGCACGGCTCAACAGGTGAGTGCTGGAAAGGGGACCCTGTACAATATGGCAGCAGAGGGAGTGAGGGCATGGGGGGAAAGTGGGGTCCTCAGGGCCGGAGTCTAGCCAGCATTACTTTTGTCATCCAGGTTGAGAGTTCAAGTTCATGGATGACTCCCTGTTCCCAGGGTAGGAAGCCTAGCTAGCCCACATAGGGTGGCATGTGAATGAAGGAAGGAAGAAATGATCAGTAACCAGTTACTTCCTTGGTATAAATCCTCCCGCTGCAGGAGAACACTACTCAGCCTCAACGACATTTCCAACCATCCCAAGGCTGTGGTATGGTGCCTGGGGGCTGAAGTGGAGGTTGTTGCTCCCCCAGGGTAGAGCATGGGAGCATGTATAGACAGTATTCATAGGGCTGTCTCCAGGAGGTAAGGTTTTGGGGTTCAGTGTAGCATGTCCACGGCAGCTGCCACTGAGGGGTGGTAATGAAAGCAAGGGCAAAAGTGCCATCCTGGTCTTGTGGCTACAGGAAGGAGGATGCCATCCCACCCAACAGTATATAACCATCTCAGGCAGAATCAGGGTGTCAAGGACACCCAGAAGCCATTGCTAAAGGAGCCACTATCCTAATTCAAAGCTAGAGATGTCCCAAGGGCTGGAGATCTGAGGACGGTAGCCCTATGGGAAGAATGACAGGACCCGGCCTGATGCGGATGGGTGGGGTTGACAAGTAGTAATGGAGCTGTCGTGTCTTTGTGAGTGTCCTGTCCACTACATACTGTACATACTGCCTGCTGTGTTATGGGGGAAAGAGAGGTAGGGGCCTCCAAGATTTGAGCTCGAGACCTGAACCGAGTCAACATCAAGGGGAGTTTGAGGTATGAGAAGTCAAGACTGTTCCCCACCTAGTGTGCAGGGTCAAGGCAAGGCCTAGCTGAGAGGACTTGATGCCAGGAGGGCCAGAGTGGGGTGGTGATGCCCTTGGAGGATTTCTGAGACCATGAGGTCATGCAGGCTGCAAAGGAATTTTCCAACCCTGAGCACATTCTGGTCAAAGCCCTGTGGCAAGCCTCGGGTCAGGACCTCTGTGAAACTGAGGCCGAGCTAACCTCTCCAGGGTCCACAGAGGGCATTCTGCACACATCATTGTTGTGGGAAGGGGGGGTGAAGGACCAGCCTTCCTGCTGGGTAAGCTGGAGGTCATTGTGACCTTGACAAGGGCAGGTTTCCTTGTGTGGCTGGAATGGGAGTGGGCTCAAGGGGAACTCTGGAAGAATGGAGTGCTCCCTGGAGGACTAGAGAAACTGGGTGGGAGGACAGGGCCAGCTGTCACGAGCGGAACTGGCCATGTACCCTGCTCTACCACACCCCATCATTTAACTGCCCTGGGCCTTGGTTCCTTCATCTGCAAAACGCTTCTCGGGGTTGTACCATCTTCTTGGTTCTATCTGTCTCTGCCTGGGGCCACAATCATACACCTTGGGCAGGGGCCTGTCCTCTGTGGCATGTTAGGGTAGCTGCTATGCCAGGGAGCTTCTGAATGCTGCTCCAAGCACCTTGGCACAGCCGCCAGGAGCCAAGACCTTTGGAACTGGTGTGGTAGATGCTGGGGGCTTTGTGTGCTGTGATGCTGAAGGAAGTGTTGACCTGCATTTATTTCCATTTCCTGAGGACCTATTATGTGAGGGCCTTGTGGAGTGGCCGGGCCTCTCTGGGGAGTGTCTGTATGACCTTGAGAACAGAAGGGCTTTGGGGCTTAGTGCAAAAGAGTGATACACCTGGGTTCCTCACGGGAGCCAGGATAGGGAGGTGACTGACATCGGCCTAGTCAGGGCACAGTGCGAACAGGGAGGGAAGGAGAGGGCCTTTGGTGCTGCGGGTGGACTGTGGATAGAAGGGTGCGGGTGTGGAAGCAGGAAGAGCAAGTGTGGCCTCCAGGATCCTGTCAGGAATGAGGACATCCATGTGGGATGGAGGGAGCTAGACTGCAAGATGCAGTTTGAGGGCGATTCTGGGGTCAGAGTAGGACTGGATGCTAAGATGCTTGTGACATAGGCCTTGGAGTATGTGAGCACAGCTTGGTTAAAAAGGACAGACCCAGACGGGAGCAATGGCCTTGGAACCCCACTTTGGAGCCTTGGGCCTGACCCGGGCCCACCTGTGTTGCTAGGCCAGCCTCTCAGATCTCCCCCTGGAGGCCTGAGAATGCCTTCTTCTGTCTCTGCAAGGATAAGAAGTGGATGGAGCCGCCAATGATAAGGAATCAGTGTCCTTGTTTATAGCTCAGTAAACTCTGGGGCCTAGGAGTAGAGGCAGACAGACAGGGGTGTATGCAAGTTGAGCTTGGGCAGTTTGGGCTATGAATATGGATTCCAACAATGTTGGCAAGTGGTACTCAGAGGCAAGCAAGAGGTACGTGTGCATGAGTGTACATGTTTGTATTATACATGTGTGTATACAGGTACAGTATACTATGTACACACATGAACATGTATGCATATGTGTGTGGTAGCTGCACCCACGTATGTATACATATGTGGAGTGTGTTTCACACATGAACTCAAATGTGGACATGTATGACACATGGAAACCTATTGGATATACTGATTATTGTGTTTGCAATTTTTGCATATGTGTGTGCACTCTCATGTATGTATGTGTCAGCATTGTGTGAGCCCACACATGCCCTACCTTATTGCAAGGCAGACCTCTATGTATGAAAGGGTGCATGTAAACTTGTAGCACATAGTGGTCATGCTTCAACCCATACAAAAAAATTGTATGTGTACACATATGAACACGAATGTTCATGCAGCACATTGTGGCTATGTGGCTGCGGGTGTATGTATGTGTACACAGTATTTGTGTATCGTGCATTGAGCATATATGTTCATGTGTGTGGGGTGAATGTGTGTTTGTGTATCCAGGGTAACCTCTATCTGTTTTATTTGCATAGGCTACTCGTCTGTTTGGAGAGCACAGAGACCAGGACCCAGCATATGAGGCAGGGAGCATTCTTGTGTAGGGTAGACCATGGCAACCCATGATCAGATCAGGGGACTGTGCCCTGTGCCTGGAAGAATCTGCCACTTCCTGTCTGTGGGAGGGAAAGGAAGCCAGTAGTGAAAGCAGTGGCTGGTTGGTCACTGAGTTCCGGGTGTTCTGGAAGGGTCGCATATAGATGAGTCCCCCTTCACATGGCCATGAGTCAGGCCCCAGCCGAGGCTGTCCCTGCCTTGCTCATACGTTCACAGCATCTGTGCTTCCCCGGACGCCCTCCCTAGACCCTCCTAAACAAGGATCTTTCCTGGAGCCCTGCTTATGTGTGTCCAGCAAGGCACTTAACCCTTTCTTCCCTCTCAGACAAGTATCACTTCCAAACATGCCATGTAACTCCCTCAGTGGGTCTCTTGCTCACCATCTGTCTGTGTTAAGATGTGAGCCCAATAGATGATGGACATGTGCCCCATTCGCTGACACTTCCTTAGTGAGGAGGGCAGAACCAGGCCCCAAATAGGCACTCAGTACATGTTTGTGAAATCAGGTCCAGCGATATCAGGGTGGGTCAGGTCGCATAGCAAGGATGGACTAAGAGCTGGCAAGTGGGTGGCGTCATGTGCACTGAGCTCTGCTTTGGGTGGTGGCAGTGGCTAAGGACTCAAGTTGATTAACCCTTCAGCAGAGAGGAAGCTGTGCCAGGATGTGCAGCAGATGCCCTGTTCTTACCTACTCTGTGCACCAGGCCTTTGCCCTTCTTGTCTTTGGGAGCAGGCAAGCCTGGACACCCATCCTTTCCTAAGACAGGCAGTGTGTAGCTGGACCAGGGAGCCAGCAGGCAGCCCACTAAGCATGTGGCCCATTTTCAGTCTTGCCCTTCCACCAGGGCTGTCCAAACGCCACATGGCCATGTCACACATTGGATTCCGTAAGCACTCCTCGGGCTAGGGCAACTGTCCCTGCTGCCTAGTCTCTCTGAGGCTGCCAGACTCTGACACACACCCTTATCTTGCACAATCTTCAGCTCCCCGTCTCTCTGTTTCCTCCTTCATCTCTCTCCCATCTCTGCCTCTGGTGAGATGGACCGTTTCTCTCAAGGGTTGCTTTAAATATTCATGTTTTAATTAAAGAATATTACAGAAGTGACGTGTAAGATAATGAAAAAAGCAACATTCTGGGTGTGGGGGCCTGCGCGTTCCTGTGAGTATGTGTACCTGTGTATCTCTGTGTGTCGTTGTGTGTGGTTGTGTGTGGTTCCTATATCCTGTGAACACCTCTCAGTATGACTCATAAACCCTTGTAAGTCCCTGTGAGTGTCCTGTGTGTGAGTCCCTGTGGGTGTATCTCCATGACTCCCTGTGAGTGTGCCCTATGAGCCCCTGTGAGAACAACCCTATGAGTGTGTCCCCATGAGCATGAGCCCCTGTCTCTGTGTGTGCCTGTGTGAGGCCCTGTGATTCTCTGTGAGGGTGTTCTCATGAGTCCCTGTGAATATGTCCTGGGTGTGTTTCCTGTGTGTCCCTGTGTGTCTTCAATCATCTTTGTATGTTTCTGTGTGAATGTACCCATGAGTTTCCCATGTGTTTTTATAAGTGTGCCCCCGTGTTTCCCTGTGAGTGTCCTTGAGCATGTCTCTATGAGTGTGTACCTGTGAGTGTATCTCTATGTCCCTGTGTGTATTGCTATGTGTATTTAAGCATACATGTGTGTCCCACTTTAAATGGTTAAATGGATTGAATAGTGTTAAATAGTGTTAAATGGATTGAATCTGTGTATCAGGGTGTGTACACATGCTACACTTGTCTGGGAGGCCTGGAGTGCTTGGGGACTCATGACTTTCCCATAGACGAGAGCTGGTCCCCTCATTGTGTGTGCATCCCTGATCCTACTTGGCCAGTGATTCTCCCAATCTCTGTGAGGCTCAATACCCCCAAGACACTCAAGAGGAGGGGAGGCAGCATATAGAAGTAGGGGCTGGGCTTGGGGAGAACCCCTAGTTGTGGTTTGGGATGCAGTGGAGTTGTAGGGCTGATAGAGAGACACCAGGGTCCACCATGGAGATTCTGGTGCCATCTTGGCAGTGTAAGTGACTCTGTGTGTGTGTGTGTGTGTGTGTGTGTGTGTGTGTGTGTGTTTATGTATACATTTTAGAGAAATCCAGAAAACTGGCTTCAGTGCGGATCACAGACAAGGATCTAGAAGTAAAGAACAAGACAAGGCCCTGTGGAAATGCTGGGTGTGTCACCGTCATCCACAGGGAAATTCCCATGTGCCTTAGCTCTTACTGTGTCACCTGCCCCAGCTCAGTGCCAGGTCTGCAAGAAGTCCTTGTGACCTAAATTGGGTCATGCTTCCCACGCTGAAGGGAGGGTCAGCAGCCTCTCTGATAACTGAGGACAGAAGCCACTTGTCTAAAGTCTCCAGCATGGACTAAACATTTTGGGCCTTTATATAAGATACCTTCTCAGAACAGGAAACATCCAGCAGCAAGAATTCCCTACAGATGTGGCTTGCTTGATCTTCAAGTGCCTTGGTTTCCCTGCTGAGAACTGGGGTTAGGACAATACTCATTTGTAGAGCCGGCCTGAGGCCTAAAGGAGGCTGTGTGCAGCGATGGATCAGGGAGGTCAGTGCTCCACAGAGGGCAGTGAACTTGGCCCACTCGGTCTGTCTTGGGATCCGACTGCCCTTCTGTGGCCCTGATGGTTGCTGGCAGCCTGCAGATGGTGGCTGAGTCAGGACCTGCCGGGTGAAGGAAGGGCTGTGGAGGAACTGTGTGGACAGGTTCCTCAGCATCTCCTGCTCTGCTCTTGGTGTCTCCCTTGTTCTGGTCCAGGAGGTCTAGACCCAGCTGTTGGTAGCAGTGCCTAAGAATTTCATGATAATCTTGCTCCAGCTGGGTCCCCTGGAGAGGCAGGGGTCTTGCTAGCTGCCTGGGCAGAGACTGTCCCTGGACCTGCCATGAGAATCTGGAAAGCTGAATGGCACTGTAGATGAACCAGTCTGCTGTTCAACCTGCTGGAGTAGGGGTCCATCTGCTGGAAGAAGATGGAAGTGCATGCTTCCCTTCCTCCAAAGGAGATCCCTGGGACTCCGGAGAGACTGGCTGGGGGAAGGGATCACCTTCCTCCTCCCATTTCAGACCACTTGGGGTGCAGGATCAGGGGAACCCATCACCCTCAAACCAGGACATTAGGGTGGGAAGGCTACCGGAGCCCCCTCACTGCATACCCTCCCTCCTGGGTGGCCAGCCTGCCTGGCCAATAATTGGCTCTATTCATGCCTGTAATGAGATGGAAATGAGGCCGCCAGACAGAGGGAGCATTGAACAGGGGAGAATGACAGCTTCTTTCCGGGTCTGGAGGGGCAACCCACCCCGGAGCCCTGCCTGCTCCTTCGCTGCCCCCTTGTACCCACAAAGCCCCGACACACCTCTGTGTCCCCTGGTGCCCCTCACTTTGGCCCCAGGACTTCTTTCTTCATAATGCCCCCTCTGGCATGAATGCTTTCAGTCTGGGCAAACATTTATCGTGTCAGCTGTGTGTGAGGACACACATTAAAAATGAAAATGATAATAAAAACAGCAGTTACCATTTTCTGAACATTCATTAGTGGAAGGAGTGTGGCCAGCATTGGGGCTTCAGTCTGTGGCTGAGATCAGGGCCCAGTTTGTGATGGAGGATCTGGGATCCGATGCCTAGGATCCTAGGTCTGTGAGAACAATCAGGGATCAGTGTTCCCAAGGTCAGATATTGGCCTGTGACCAGGGCGAGGAATCAGTATATGTCTAGGATCAGGGATTAGTATACTACCAGAATGAGGACTCAATGTATGAATAGGGTTGGGAATCCGCATGTGGCCTGGATCAGGGTTCGGTGGGACCAGAGTCAGGGCTGGGCCAGAGGAGGGCATCCATCCTCTCCCCCAGCTTCTGATATGCCCCACCTCTTCCCTCCCCTCCCCCTCCCACATCTTCACCACCTGGGTCACCAAGGTAACCAGCCCCGAAATAGTGGGTGTTTTGGCAGCTGAGGCCTAACCTGGGTCTATCCTGAAAGGCTGTGTGCTGCAGCAGTTGCCATGGGAACTGAGTGGCATCCTCCGATTAGCCCAGCTTGGACACCCTCTCTCCCACCCACTGCCAGTTTTCACATCACTCAGGCTTCCTTGTGGGGGCTGGGCTGGAGCAGTGAGGGGGGCACAGGAAGGATCCAGAACCCTGACCCCACCCTGGGCCTGAATCAAAGACTCCTGGCTCCTTTGTCTGGAATCCTGAGACAGGAATGGCTGAGACAGGTGAGATTCCTGAGGCCAGAAAGCTGGGCCCTGGTTGGTCCTGGCAGGTGGCCTTCCTGGGGCTGGTGGGTGGGGCAGAGATCTGGAATCCTATTTGGTTCAAGACCTGGAGTCTGACCTGGTTGAGCGCTGCTCCTGCTTGTCCTGAGTTAGAGCTTGTGACCGGCAGCCTCAGAGCGGCCACCTGGGCCCAGCCTGTGGACAGCTGCTGTCCTGCCCTACCTATGATGCACATGAGGCTGTGCTGGAGACGCTCTGCCCTCTTGCTCTCAACTTTGTCTTGGTGGGGGTGTCACCGCTTACCTTTTCCCGTACCCTTGCTATGCCCTTGCCCCCACCCTTGGGGCTCTGCTGGTGAATCGAAGATGTCTTTGAGACAGGATCCTCCGTGCTTATAACCATTACTCAGAACTTGAAACCCTGACTCCCTAGCTCGACACCTTGGCAGAGGCGGGGTTTTGGGTCTCTACAACAGGCACAGCCGCATGGAAGATGGTCCTTCCCAACCTACCCATTTCAGAAGGGTGAGCCCCCTCTAAAGTGCTGCTTACTTCCTGGGAACCCAGCGCCCCCTGCTGGTGCAGCCAAGCAGAGGCAAGGGGAGAGGCAGGCCCTGGCTGTGGTTCTTTCCGAACCCTGGAAGTTGACTGTCCTTGAGACGATCAGGCCAAGGTTCAAGCTATCAAGTGGGACTGCTCACCCTCTGAGACCCTTCACCTCTGAGTTCTCACCTCAAGAGATGGGGCCTCCTCCCATCACCACTTAAGCCAGGTGTAGCTGTGAGTGTCCTGGACTTATTTATCCTTGCCTTGCTTAGTAGGTGGGCAGATCTGTCTAAGGAAGGAGTGTCCTGGACTTATTTATCCTTGCCTTGCTTAGTAGGTGGGCAGATCTGTCTAAGGAAGGTTTCTGGGCTACCAGTTATGGGAGTGGCTACTCTCTACCTCATGCTCTGGAGTGGAAATGTGGAGGACTTCACAGGTTCTCACATAGACAGGAATGTGAGGAAATAATCTCAGGGGTTTGAGGGCCCTGGGGAGGCTGGATCTATGTGTTTCTGAATGGTGGCCCACACTGGTCTCCAGGCCTCACACTGTGGGGAGCATGGGGTTGGCAGGAGCTGACTGTCTACTCAGCAAGGCAGCCCGGAACAGCAGTGTGTCTTTGTCCCAGATCTACCAAGGACCCTCTGGCTCAGAGCTGACGCAAGCTCTCTAGAAGGAGCCTGGACCTAGGGGCAGAGTTCCCCATGGCCTCACCCTGCCTTGCTGTCTTCCCCATCCAGACCTGACCTCTGCTTACTCTTTCAAAGCCCACAACCACCTCTTCTGGGCTCCGCTGGGCCCCAAAGATGGCAGGACCCCGAGTCTCACTCTTGTTCCCCCAGGTGGCTGGAAACTGTGGTCCTTGTGGGGTGAATGTACGCGGGACTGTGGTGGAGGTCTGCAAACTCGAACCCGTACCTGCTTGCCTACCCCTGGCGTGGAGGGCGGAGGCTGTGAGGGCGTTCTGGAAGAAGGACGCCTGTGCAACCGCAAGGCCTGTGGCCGTGAGTGGGCAGGGCAAGGGTGGGGCTGACGTGGTGGGCGTGACCAAGGAGGGAAGAAGCCTAGGGACTCTAAGCTAGGGCTTCAATGGGAAGAAGGTGGGCGGGGCTTTGAAGAGCTGACAGTGGTTGGGGGCAGGGGAGCTTAGAGGCGGAGATTTGACCCAGGAGGAAGCAGGGTTTCTGGAGCTAGGTGGGACTAAATAAGGTTTCCTTATCAGATGGGGGTTGGGATTCTTGAGGCTGCCCCTGCAAGCAAGCTGCAGCCAAGCCAGTCAGCTCCAGCAGGATAAGCCTCCGGGATGTATTTCTCTAATAAGGCTTTCTAATGACCTCATGCATTTTTTAGCTTCTTCCATAAAGTTAAATCAAGTTCTAATGAGACTGTCACTCTTCAGGTTTTGTTTTGGTTCGTTGGATGCACTTTCCTGAGGAGACAGCTCTTCTCAGGAGCCTGGGGAGGCCCCTGCCTATCTCACAGGGAGGAAGGGGTGGGATGTTGGGTAGGAGGAAGCAGGAGACACTCTAAGGGGTTGTCCTGCAGTTCTGGAGGGACATCACAGAGGGGCCCGTAGTGAGCCGAAGAGAGTTGGTGCCATGGTTCGGGTCTCCCGCTTGTCTGTTGGGGTTAAATTGCTCTGGTGACAGTAGCTGGCCACCTGTGGCCAAGGGAGAGAATCACACAGGGGTGCTGACCTGAACCCATCCCACAGCCACTGGGCGCACCAGCTCACGGAGTCAGTCTCTACGGTCCACGGATGCCCGGCGACGTGAGGAGTTGGGAGATGAACTGCAGCAGTTTGGGTTCCCGTCCCCCCAGACTGGTGAGCTGGCAGGATGGGTAGGACTGGCCTACACACAGCCCTAGGCGGGGAGAGGGAGAGATTGCTAGCTTCTGGGGCCGGTTAGTAATGGCTACTAGTTGCCAATAATAATTCTAATAGCTTATTGCTCATCTCATCTAGCTGGTGCCAAACTCCTGCTCCAGGCAGACTGGCTTAGGGGAGCTGATAGGAGAATAGAAGCCTGCCCCAGCCAGACCCAGACCCTGGGGCTTCCAGCCATTAGGAAAATAGACTATCTTGAGACACGGGCCCCAGTCCGTGGCCTGTTACCCCACAGCAAGGTCCTGCCTCCCCAGTGGGCCTCCAAATCTGGCGCTGCCTTATGGGAGGGGGCGTGGCAGGCCCATGATGCTGCAGGGCTGGACCCACAGGTGACCCAGCAGCCGAGGAGTGGTCCCCATGGAGCGTGTGCTCCAGCACCTGCGGCGAGGGCTGGCAGACCCGCACCCGCTTCTGCGTGTCATCCTCCTACAGCACTCAGTGCAGTGGGCCTCTGAGGGAGCAGCGGCTCTGCAACAACTCGGCCGTGTGTCCAGGTGGGTGGAGCCGAGCACGGGACGGGGCTTGGGGTGGCAGGGTGGGGCTTCTGGGCTGGGGAACAGCCCGTGGCTTCCCTTCTCTCTCCACAGTGCACGGGGCCTGGGATGAGTGGTCACCGTGGAGCCTCTGCTCCAGTACCTGTGGCCGTGGCTTCCGTGACCGCACACGCACCTGCAGGCCCCCGCAGTTTGGAGGCAACCCCTGTGAGGGTCCCGAGAAGCAAACGAAGTTCTGCAACATTGCCTTGTGCCCTGGTAGGTGAGAGGGAGTGCGTGGCTGGGGGTTGGGGATGGGTCCAGCAGGCACTGGCCAGTCCAGGGACCCAGCTTGACCCACCTCAGGTTCACCTCAGGGTGCTGGATATTCACACTAGCTTCCTGTTCCCTTCTTCCCCCGGGCCGGGCAGTGGATGGAAATTGGAATGAATGGTCTAGCTGGAGCACCTGCTCCGCCAGTTGCTCCCAAGGCCGCCAGCAGCGGACCCGAGAGTGCAATGGTCCTTCCTATGGAGGCGCTGAGTGCCAGGGCCACTGGGTGGAAACTCGAGACTGCTTCCTGCAGCAGTGCCCAGGTCAGGATGCCCTCACAGGGCTCAGGGAAAGGGCGGGGCCCACTGGGGAGGTATGGCTGTGGAGGTGGGTATAGGGTGGAAATGGTGACATTAGGATGTAGGTTAGGGTATTAGGAGAGAAGTACAGGGTGTTGGAGGTGGGCTTGGGGCACAGGGTAGTGTGGTGCTTAGGTCAGAGTGCTGGCTAGGGTGTTGGAGTCGAAGTACAGGATGGAAATGGTAGGGTTGAGTGCAGTTCAGAGTGGTGGGGTTGGCTGAAGGGTTAGTCAGGTTCAGGACGGGGCAGTGGAGTGGTGGTCACGTGACAGGGTTCAGCTGCACGTGCCACCTGACTTCTTTTTGAGTCAAGCTGGTTTCAGACCTCTCCTCCACTGATCTCAATTTTCTGCCTCCTTATGGAGGTCCTGCCCCAACACTCCTGGGTCTTTTTTCCTTGTTTCATCTAAATACTGTTTCTTTATGTCCCCCCCGCCCCCGGCCTCTGGCCCCACTTCCCTACTGATCCTGGGTCCCACCTCTGCTTTCTGTCACCTGTGTCCTATGTTTGGCCACCCTTGCAGTGGACGGCAAGTGGCAGGCCTGGGCGTCATGGGGCAGCTGCAGTGTCACGTGTGGAGGTGGCAGCCAGCGACGGGAGCGTATCTGCTCTGGGCCTTTCTTCGGGGGAGCCGCCTGCCAGGGCCCCCAGGATGAGTACCGGCAGTGTGGTACCCAACGATGTCCTGGTGAGAGCCTTCCCACAGCATATTAGCTCAGAGGGACCGGGAACAACTGACTCTCACAGCCCCTCATCCCAAACCCTGTTCACCTCACTGTCTGGCCCCTCGCAGAGCCCCATGAAATTTGTGATGAAGACAACTTTGGGGCCGTGGTCTGGAAGGAGACCCCAGCTGGAGAGGTGGCTGCAGTTCGGTGTCCCCGCAATGCCACAGGTAAAAATGGTGGTCCGAGAGGCCCTGCTCTGTCTCTGTACAGCTGCCCTCACAGACTTGGTCTGAGACCTACAGCTCATGCAGCCCTTGGATGTGCTCATGCCAGATGGCACCAGATAGGACAGCATGGCAGCCACTGTGTCTTGAGTTCACAAGGATCAGGGCACATGCCACGGTCTCTGCTTGAGAGGTCCATTTGAGCATAGACAGCTCTGTGAACCTGATGCCATTGCCCCTGTACTGGTGGGAAGCAGGCATAGGGCTATCAGCATACCTACCGTATGGGTTTGCATTCTATAGGAGAGAGGTTGCCTTTGAACACCGGTAGTTATAGTCCCCTGTCGTCCCTGGGGACTGATGGGGTACTTTCAGAGGGTATGAAAAGCAGGGTGGACTCCATGGGGAAGGGACCTGCCCACCCACAGGCATTGGTTTTCTTCATTTGGTTTGAAAAAGTGTGAGTAGTTTTCATATATGGGAGGCCGCAGGGAAGGAGGTTGGGAACCCAGTTCAAACCCCAGCTGTGCCCTTGTTTGCCATGTTGCTTTTGGGAAATGAGTTCGTTTTCTCTGAGCTTCAGTTTTCTCTTCCATAAAATGAGGAAGGACTTCAGGTGATCCTTTGCATTGGGCTGCTGTGGGCAGTGGGTGAAGTGACCAAATACGCGCAAAGGAGGTGATAGGTGCTGAATATTGCAAGTCATGCCTGCTCTCCCTATCCTTGGCTACACTGTCTTGCTGGCATATTGCAAATCCCAAGAAACAGCGAAAGACAGTGCCCATCCCTCACGGTGTCCTTCCCTGGCCTTTCTCCACCTTCGTAGTCACACTGCTTTTCCCTCATTGTTGCTGCCACCTAAGTTCAGACTTGAGCATCAGGCCACTGTGGTTCCTGTCTGATGATAGGGCTGGAACCATTCCATGTAGTTGTCACCATGCATTTATTTACTCTGCTGTCCCTGCTCAGAAATCATTCTGGGGGTCCTCTGAGAGCAAGCCTGTGTTTCAGGCTGTTGATTTTTGATACCAAGTGACCCCAGGGGGCTGCACCCGTGTCCAGGGGCCAGCAAGGTCCCTGAAGCCCTGTGAATGTGCCAGGGCATGGCAAAGGGCTAGAGAACAGCTGTCCCTAAGTCTCTAGATTGCAAGACTCCAAGAGAGGCTCTGGCTGAACCCAGAAACCACTGCTTAGCTGAAGAAGCAAAGTTTCTGAAGTTCTGGTGCCTGCTGCTCTCCAGGTCTCCAGGTCTCCAGGACCTAGAGTAGGACTGAAGTATGTGGCACATAGGCATGCCTCGAGGTCCCTAGGGTCCCAAACAGAGCGCTCCTGCCTGAGAGTTGTGGGTGGGACCCCAGAGCTCCTTGGTGAGCAGTCATATGAGGAGCAGAGTTTCCCCAGGCCTCATCCTGCGCCGCTGTGAGCTGGACGAGGAAGGCATCGCCTACTGGGAGCCTCCCACCTACATCCGCTGTGTCTCTATCGACTACCGGAACATCCAAATGATGGTGAGGCCGGTCCCAGAGGCTCCGGGAAACGTCCCCACTCTTTGAACGTGAGGTTGGGATTGTGGGGGCCTCCAGGCATCAAAGCCTCCTGCCCCCACCTGCCTGTGACCTGCAGCAGTGACAGCATCCAGCCCTCTCCATCTCCCTAGACCCGAGAGCACCTGGCCAAGGCTCAGCGTGGGCTGCCAGGGGAGGGCGTCTCGGAGGTCATCCAGACCCTGCTGGAGATCTCGCAGGACGGCACCAGCTACAGTGGTGACCTGCTCTCCACCATCGATGTCCTGAGGAACATGACAGAGATATTCCGCCGGGCCTACTACAGCCCTACACCCGGGGATGTGCAGGTGACTCCCAAGGGCAGTCCCAGGGGAGGAACTTGAGGAAATATCAGAGTAACCAACCTAGATCCCAGTCAGCTAAGTCCCAGTGTTGAGTGTGGGCGGGGCTCTGACCCCACCATGATATTGAGCTTTAAACATGGTTGGTTACATGCTGAATCCTGACTTGGACATAGGATAATATCTGATCCAGATCATATACTGAGTCCCAGTCCAGCTTGCATACTGAGTGAGTCCTGATCCTGGTCACAATGACCTCTGACCCTGATGATAGACTGAACCCTGTCCTTGGTAAAGACTGAACCTTGACCCAGACCATACTAGTCATGAATTAAGTCATCATCCTGGATCCTGCTCACACCCTGAGCGAGCCTTGATCTGATTCTGGCTACGCTCTGTGCTCTGATCCTGGTCCCACACAGCTTGGATCCTGGTCACTGACTGAGTCCTGATGTTGGTCATTCACTGAGCCCTGGTTCTAGTCTAAACTGAGCTCTGATCTTAGGCCTAGACTGAGCTGTGATCTTCATCACACACTGATGCCTTGTTCTCTTTCCCTGGCCCTTCCTATTTCCAGAACTTTGTCCAGATCATCAGCAACCTGCTGGCGGAGGAGAACCGGGACAAGTGGGAGGAGGCGCAGTTGGTATGTGTGGAGGTCTGGAGCCCCTATGTTAGCCACAGGATCAAGATAAGGGCAGGTAGCTCTAGGCCTCCTACACCCCAGGCTGGTCATGGTAGGGCCTGGCTTTGGTAGGCTTTGTTTCTCCACCATGAAAGGACAGTGGCTCTTCCCTAGGGCTGATTGAGGCGAGCAGAAACTTTTGTTAAGATCACTGAGCATGTCCAGCAGAGGGGGTGTGGTGACTCTCCCCATCTGCTCTCCTCCTTACAGCTGACCTCAAACCTCTTATTACACTAACCCCAGGGCAGTAACCCTCATGGTGGATATTTGGACACTTTTCCTTCCTACAGCGTAGGAACAACTATGGCTGTGCCCAGCAGCAGCTCTGGGCCTCTGAGCTTGTGGGTAAAATGCAAATGGGCACTCAGAGGTCAGCAGCCTGCTACCCTGCTTTGCAAGGGAATGACCCATAGGGCCTAGAAAAAAGAGACAGCAGAGGAGGGAAGGAGGCAGGAGGACAAGGGAGGGCACAGGCACCTCCCCCAACTTCAGCTCCTCCACCTTTCCCCACCCCAGATGGGTCCCAACGCCAAGGAGCTCTTTCGACTGGTGGAGGACTTTGTGGATGTCATCGGCTTCCGCATGAAGGATTTGAGGGATGCCTACCAGGTGACCGACAATCTGGGTAAGCCCCTCCACGGCTTGGTCCTGTGCTTCGGCCTGGGTTCCTGCCTTGTTTTTCTCATCTATAATGAACTAATGACCCCACCCTTCTGCAGCCTCTGATTGGCATTACTTACTAGCCTGGGGCTTCGGTCAAGTTCAGAGGGTTCCTATCAGGAGCCTTTTGGGACCCGAGATCCAGGCAGGGGCCTGGAGATTCCATGCCAGGGACCCATGCAGAAATCCTGCCACCCCTGGGATTGAGGCTTGCTTCATCCTGCCACCCCAGAGTTACCTCTGCAGCTGCTGTTTTACTGCCCTCCAGTCTATAGAACCTATGTGCAGTGGGGCAGGGGACTGGTGTTTGCCTGGTGCAGTTTCCTCCTTCCTGTATTGTTAGAGTGAAGCTGTAGACTGGTCAGTGGGCCTGAGAGTAACTGGTAGCTGTCCTCACAAATACACACCAATGCTTGAGATGGCCCCTATCTAGGCACCAGCTCTGCATCCCCCTGAGGATGTGATCCAGCCTCCCACTCTGAGTCTTCATCTGGTTTTACTCTTTCACCAGCCCTGTCCCCAACTCGTTCACTAGTGCCCACTCTTCCAGCATGAAGCTGCTGTGCTCTGGCCTTGGAGTCCTCACTCTGCCCTAGACCGACACCTGTCTCTGCTCTAATTCCCTCCCCTCCATCCACTAGGTCAGACTGGCCCTTTGCACTTCAGGCTGACTTTACCCTTCTTCGTCACGGGGCCTCTTGCTTACCTGACCCTCCAGCCTAGGCCCGAGGCTCCATTGGCCTTCAGCGCCATGCCTTCCCCAAAGCTCCCCAAAGCCCCAGTATCCGTGTGAGCCTGCCATCCCAGGTCTCTAAAAGCCCAGCCTGATTCTGCTTCCCCTCACAGGACCTAGGAGTCACATACTTCTCCCTGCCTTCCGCCCACAGGGCCATCTTTCAGAGGGCTGCTGTCACACTCATCTCTCCCCTTGCTTTCTGCCATTTCTAGATTCTTCCCTCCCTGCCCTCTCCTCTCCTTGGGATATGTCCCTCTTTTTCTTGTCCTCTGCAGGAGGCTTTCTGGCTACTCTGTATGGTAACATCACCCCACTTTATTGCCACTACTGACAGGCCATGTCCCCATTCCGTGAGCAACCCAGAGGGCTCTGCTGCCCACACAGTCTTCTCAGCACCTGTAATGGTGCAGTTGGGACCCAAAATATGTGCCAAATGAAGTGGTGTGCTCATTCCCTGGGAAACTCTGGGTGCTGGCATTCAGAGGGAGGCTTGTCTCTGTTCCCATGGCCTCTGGTAAGGCAGATACTTATGGAACACTGTGGGAGAACCCTCATGCTCACAGGGAGCATGCCGTCATGGTTTCAGGAGGGCAGGGCCAGGTAGGGAGGCTGATGAACCTGGCCAGGCAGAGTCGGTGGGACAGAACAAAGGTAGAAAGAAAACACAGGGGCCGTGCCTGGGGTGCATGGCCTGGAGCTCAGCAGCTCCCTTTCTCCCTCATCATTACAAGTAACCCCAGGCTGTGGCACTAGTTGATAGGTGGAGTGTGTGCCCAGAGGGCATGGATGGAGCTGGAAAAGCTACCTCACTTACTGAGGCCCTCCCTTTGTCTCTCAGCCCTGTCCCCCAGGCCTTGGATCATGCGCTGGAGGAAAGTGGGGTGGCAGGCAGGGAAGCCCTCTAGGATGTTCCCTGAGGTGGAGAAGGGACTGTCCTGCTGAGGTTGGCGCTAGACTGGAGCCTGGTCTGGAGTGAGCTGGGAGAGCCCCAGGGACTGGTCTGCCGCCTGCTAGTGGCTTGCCAGGCTGGGGTACAGGACAGTGGCATCCTACCTGACTACACTACCCAGAATTCTCCCTCCGCACCTGTTGCTCCTCCCTCACCAAGGCCTCCCACCCAAATAGAGAGATCTTAAGCCTGAAGCTCAGTCACCCACCCCCCCCCCTTTATAGAAGAGAGTGGATCTCAGAGCTGACTCATGACCCCAGTGAGGTAGGGGGATGGTAGGAACCAAGATGGGTGCCTAGCTCCTGTAGAGCCTTCTGTGCCCACACTTTTTCCTGACCACAGTGGCTGAGTCTGAGCCTCGGTACTAACCAGGCTGGACAGGGCCTGGTTGGATCTGAATCACCAAGAATAAGACTTCCTATAGGGATTCTGGCCTGCGGTCTCATACAGTCCCCACCAGCCAGCCCTGGGCTCTGGGGTTTTTGCTCATCTGGGAATAGAGGCCTGTGGAGGATCTAGTGACTGTGGGGGCTAGGGTCTACAGGCTTGGAGCTCATGTGTAACAGCAGCCTGGCCGTGTGGACCTTGCCCACCCCTTGCCTCAGGAGACTTGTGTGAACCCTGCCCCTGCCCACACCTAGCCCCAGGAAACTTATACCATCCTCTTGCACCAAGGCCTGCTGCCTGGGTCCCAGCTGACTGCCATTCCAGGCGAGTGATGCTCTGTTTGTGTTGCCCTCCCCCCCCTCCTTAGTGCTCAGCATCCACAAGCTTCCGGCCAGTGGGGCCACCGACATCAGCTTCCCTATGAAGGGCTGGCGTGCCACAGGAGATTGGGCCAAGGTGCCAGAGGACAGAGTCACCGTGTCCAAAAGTGTGTTTTCCACAGGGTTGGCAGGTGAGGCTTCCGAGTGGGATGGGCCTGCTAAGAGCCAGGGTCCCAGAATCTGAGGATCGTCATCCTTGGATGTCTTGTAGGGTTTTGTGCATTGTCTCCAGTGACAGGGAGCATCCCTGGTACACCTTGTTATTCCTGAGGCCATCTCCATGCAGGAGCCTCTTCCTTTCCTCCATAGGAGAGTGCCTGGGGACCACACTAAGCCAGAAGTATAAACAGACTGGAAGGGACTGGGTGGATCACACAGCAACAAGGACATTGGTTCCCAGGGAAAAAAATGTATCTTGCTTCCCCATATCTCTTGTGGGGTTCCTTGAGGAGATGGTCTAGTTCTCTCTACCCATGTAGATCCAGACTGGTACCCCAGATCCAAACTGCACCTCAACATCTGTGGTGGGATAGACTTTCTCTTGTCAGTACCTTGGATGTGACCCAATAGATGGGACAGTGGAGGCCATTGGGGTGGGGTCCAGGCTAGGGGGCAGTAGCAGAGTTGGGGTAACACATGCTTCCTTCCAGAGGCTGATGATTCATCTGTGTTCGTGGTTGGTACTGTGCTCTACCGAAATTTGGGCAGCTTCCTGGCTCTGCAAAGGTGGGTGTCATGAATAGCCTGGGTCCCTATGGGAGGTCAGGAAGAAGCTGGTGGGTTGGACATGGTGGTGACTGGTGGTGTGGGACAAAGCACCCCACTGGGACTGGGGGCTGGGTTACAAGGCTGGCTCAGTGCCATTCCATGCCTCTGACAGCCTTTGATGCTTTGATGTCCCCAGGAACACCACAGTCCTCAACTCTAAGGTCATCTCCGTGACTGTGAAGCCCCCACCTCGATCTCTGCTCACGCCCCTGGAAATTGAGTTCGCCCACATGTACAACGTGAGTGTTGCCCATGTGCACGGGGACACGGGCACTTTCATCGGTTCTGAGTGCACCCCTACGCATCCTTCTCGGGCACAGTTGAAGTGGTTTTCATCTAAATTCCAAGTGGAGAAACTGAGTCTTAGAGTTAGGGACTCACCCAGGGCTACACGGCGGGTTCATGTAGATAGTAAAATTCAGCCCCTTTCCGACCTGCCCCCTGACTCTAGCCCACTCCAGACCCTGATCCCTGAAAGGAATCCACTCGCTATTCCCAGTGCCCACAGCCCAGGATCCTCAGGAGCTGTGTGACAGGCCATCTACCCCAAACTAAGTCTCCAGACTCCCTTCCCAGTCCACACTGCTGGGAGCGTGTGAGAGTCACCCTCTGCCAGAGTCAGGGCTGACCACCAGGCCATGTCATTCAGGACATCTGGGATGGCTGTGCCAGGAGCATCCTTCCCAGATTCCCAGGACTCCAGCCCACTACTGCTGTGCAACCTGACAGGTCCCCAGCTCCAGGAATTCTTTGATGGGCACAAGGAAACCGGGGGAGGGGAGGAGAGTCAGTCCTCTCATACGGCTTTTCAGAGACTAGAGCTGAAGCTCCTACAACCCTCTGTCTCTGCTTCCGGGTGGGTTGAGTAAGAACCCCAGAGGAGCAAGGCAACTGCATCACTCAGCCAGGACATGGCAGTGCCAGGCCCCAGGCCTCAGATCAGGGGTGTGGGAAGCCTCAGGAAGAAACCAAACCTGTCCTTTCCTTCTGTGTGGCCTTAGGGGAGCTGCTTACCTTCTTTATGTCTTGGCTTCCTTCCCTTATCAAATGAGAACAAGTAACTCTCATGAATGCTCAGGGCGTGTAGCTACTGTGAGCATAGACATGCTCCACTGTGGTTGCTCCCATCTCTCCAGTGCTGAACCCTGTCAGTAGCCCTCTCAGGGATGGTGCCCTGTGATGCTCTCACGGTCCTGCTTCCAGGACCAAGGACAGCAACAGTGCCGTTTCCCCTTAGGAGCATCTAGCCCCTTCCCCTTCAGACAGGACTTTGTCCTTCAGCCCAGCCCAATCATGGGGTCTGAACCAGAGAAGGCATTGGAGCTGTTTGAAGCCTTGTGTTGGGCGTTGGTGGCGACGGGGGGTGGGGGGGAATCAAGCCAGATCTAACTAACCTTGATCCAGTTTTTTACGTCACACGATGTAGTCTCTTGGGGAATGGCGTCAGCAGCATAGGTAGTGCCCCCATGAGTGTATTCAGTGACCCAGGCTATGGCTAGAGGTGGCAGTGGCCCTGACTCCTCTCTTTCTCTCTCTTTCTCTTAGGGAACCACCAACCAGACATGTATCCTGTGGGACGAGACAGATGGGTAAGTTCTTTGGGGCTTGGTAGCCCCAGGGCCCCCAGGGTAGTGGGAGAACTTACAGTGTAGTCGGTTTTAGGTAGTGGTGCCACTGTTCCCTGGTCCCTTGTCCTCAGGTACGCCTGCATGGCTCTCCCCTTCTTTCTGTCCAGGTCTGTGGCCGGCCATCCTTATTATTCTAGGAAAGTCCATGGCACGGGGGAGGAGGGCCAGAGAGGGTATGTCCTAGCCAGATGCTGAAGTGGGGCATCCAAGCTGTCCTGTCCTGATGTTGGGTTCAGAGCAGGTATCAAGCACTAAAAATCGGCAATGTGACTGTGTGGACTAAGACAGCATCGGGGTTGAGGATCCAGAGACTCCAAATAATCAGTCGGGGCAGGGACCCCAGGTGTTTCTAGCAATATTGTGTGACTCTGGACCCTGAATTCAGACTTTTTTCAAGTGCATAGTGGGCATAAGCCTGCTCCAGGGTACTTTCATGGAGCGGAGCCTCATGACTGGAATCAGATCCCCGTGAAGTGACAGGGAAGTGAGGAGGGGCCTCCTGAAGGGGAAGGAAGTATGTGGACGGCTGGAATAGTGTTCACGGAAGCCAGGAAGGTCACTGTGCTTGCATTGAAGGTTTACAAACTGGAGACCTGTCCTGTCTCTGTGGGCAGTGACCTTGACCTCAGTCACCCTAAGCATGCTATACCCCAGCCCTAGATAAGTGGACCATGGAAGGTCAGGCCCCAGGACAGGAGAATAATACCTATTCAGTTGAGTGGCCCGTGCCTAAGTGGAAACACAAGTCCATCCTGGGGTACGCCCCCCATTGCTGATTTACAGGTTGCAAGGCCTCCAAAGGCTATAGCCAGCTAAAAACCCAGTGGTGGCTGAGGAGACTGCTCAGAACAGGCAGTTAGAACCCTTAAACTGGGGCTGGAGGGAGACTGGATGATGGACAGGCTGGCTTCTGTAACTTCCCCAGGCCCTGGTCACTCCTCTGCTCTCCATTGAGTGGCTCTTCAACTGGTGGCCGTTGCGTTGGCTGTGACTGTGGCTTGTGAATGTGAGTGCTCCCCTGTTGTCTAAAGTGGGATGAATGACAGAGCGCCCGCCCACTTCCACCAGTGCCTATCGGCCAGTGTGCCTGACCTGCCTGCTGTGCAGCCTGCGCTTGCCTGTGCTTGGCCAGGAGAGGGCTAGGGACCAAGGAATGGCCTGGCCACTAGGGGGAGAGGAGCACCTCCGGTGACTGTCACCTGATAAAGGGTAACCTTTTTTGTACTTTGTGACGCATAACCAAATCATCCTAATCTAGGATAGAAGCCAGATCCCTAACCGGAAGTGGACTGAGACCAGACACTAGTTATACCCCTGAGTCTTGACTCTAACTGCGACATTGAGCTATAATTCTGGTCAAATGCTGCTCATGGTCACAGGTTAAGCTTGCTGGGACCCTGGTCACACACTGAACCCCAGTCCTGCTCTGACACTAAATGCTGACTCTCATCACATGCTGAGCCCTGACCCTGGTCACATGCATAGCACTCGTTCTGCACATGAACTGAGCCTTGATCCTGGCTATACACTGAGCATTGATCTGGCTCACACACTGAGTACTGATCCTGATCACTCGCCGAGACCTCACCCTGGGCGCACACTGAGCCCTGATCCTTGTCACACACTGAGCTCTGACCACGGCCACCTATTGGATGCTGACCCTCATATCACACACTGAACTCTGATCTTGGTCCTAGGCTGAGCCGTGTTCCTTGTCTCTGTTGGAACCACTGTATTTGTTCGTATTCCATTCCGTGTATGGCGCATGCTTAGAGGACCACCCTCTAGTTTACATGTGATAGTTGGCAGCGTGACATGTTCATGTAGAGAACAAGCCAGAGGCCTCCACCTACAGTGTAGCCTCTTTTCCTGCCTTCCCTCCAGAAGGGAAGACGTCCACATTGGAGACGTCTGTCTAGGCTCCTTAAACATTTGTTCAGAGCCTCTGACGTGACCCTAGTCCTTCATGCAGTATCTGTCACCCATGCCCCTGAATCTGGATCTTGAACTCTAAGTTGGCAATAGGGTTCAAGAGTTCTGTCTCTTACCCCGCTATGGAAGCCTGGCCCATGGCTGTGAGAGCCTGGGGTAAGAAGTGGGGAGGAAGGGGGCGATCCTTGCTGCAATTTACTACTCATGCCGCATCCCCACAAGGCCCTAGTTTTGTGTGTCTCCACTGAGGGGTCAGTGACAGTCACCTGTGTATTTCCAGAGTCTCCTGCCACCTGTTAGGGTGAGGAATTATTCACGAGCGGGAGTGGGCAGCAGGAAGCAGGGCTGGGCGGGTGAGCAGGCCATGGTAGGCTGTGCTAGGCAGAGTGAGCAAGCAAGGTAAGCTGCTCAGGAGTTGGGCGGAGCGAGGTGTGGATTGTGGGGGTGCAGGGTGAATGACTGAATGGGATGAGATTCAGAGGACAAGCAGGTGCCTGAGGAAGAGGACAATGTCATGGGAAGCAGGCAGAAAGAGCACAAGGGCCGGCTTCTTCTGGCTACTCTGTCAGGTGGGCAGAGCACCGCAGTTATGGAGGGTCATAGCAACTGAACTCTGTCTCTCCCCGTGCAGAAAGGCCAGAGCTCCAACCTCAGGCATTGGCAGGGCTGTCCCTGTCCACAGAGTGCTCCTTTCCAGATTCTAGATTCTTTCCTGGGTGGACTGCCAAGTCCCACTAGGTTCACCCATGTCCCTCAAAGAGCTTCCTACTGCTCTGTCCTTTGTCAACCAGGTTCACAGCCAAAGAGCCTGACCGAAGGCTCGGAGGCGCCCAGTGAGCCCAGTACCACCTTCAGGGACCCTTTCTGTACACTGCCAAAAGCATATCTTTTAAAAAGTCTGCCCCCTATTTTTGTTTGTTTATTTGGTTGGTTGGTGTTTTTTTTTAATTTTTTTTTGAGACATGATCTTCCCGTGTAACCCTGGCTCACAGAGGAAACCTACAGTTGCTACCCTTAAAATATGGCTGAGCAGGGGCTTCAGAGTGGGTGGAGGGTTTGAGTTGGGGCAGAACAGAGGGGCTTTCCCACCTTCCTTTGCTGCTCCAAGGAGCCATTTACTCTGCCAATCCCACCTTGCTCCAAGATTCTGGACTCTTATCTATAATGCCCTCTCAAGACTGACCAGTAGGGCACGTGGGCTCATAATGTCCACTTCTAGCAAACCTGGCCTATACCTGCACAGAGGCCTTTGTCTGACCACCTGGTTACACGGGCAAGCTTCCATCATGTTGAGCCTTGGTTTCCACATCTGTGAAATGAACTGTTGCCGTGGTTGACAATGTGACGGATGTCAGGATGGTCCCAGAGGACAACAGTAAGCCACGTCGACACAGTACCACCTCACAGCCCTCCGCACTGACTGGAATGCACCTTGGAAACCCAAGGCCACAGCGCAGGGCGTGTGGAGACCCAGCAGGGTGCAACTGGGGTTGCAGCGAGTGGTCCAAGGAGAGGGAGGGAGGGAGTAAGACAGAGAACCTGTAGGGCGGGGTGGTGGCCGTCCAGGCCATATGGTCCCTTTCTGTGATCCCAATACCTCTTTTTAGTTGTGGAGACTAGGCTCTCTGACCTCAGAATTGTCCTAGCACAGGTAGAATTGGCGGGTATGGGTCCTATTTTTAGATCACAGGGCGTATGGAAAGGCAGGCAGGGGGAAGGAGGCTTGAGTGATGTGGGAACCTACAAATGGCCCTCGCCTAAAAGTGATGAAATGATGGAGTGACCAGGTCTGCTGGTTCAGGTGAGCAGTGTGGTGAGCGAGGAGGGTCATAGGGACAAAGGCAATAGTGCAGGTTAACTGGCTCTCTGCTCTTACTGCCCCAGCCTGTCAGGGAGCACATTGAGGCTCCTGAGAAAGGGTCCACCAGTGTGCCGAGCTGAAGAAGACTGCTGAATTCTGGGGATAGTGTCTGTCCTGCAGACAGGCTGATATTGCCGGCAAGGCAGTAGCATGCCCGTGGCAAGCAGGTGCTCACTGATCCCTATGAAGGAGGACACGTTGGGTAAGGCGGTGCTGCCATGCTATGGAGCTTCGGCTGGGGCAGATGGTCTCAGCATCAGCGATATACACTGCTGACTGCATTGGTAGGCATGGTGATGATGTTGGTGCTGGTGTGGGTGATGCTGGCGCTGGCCTGGGGATGTGGCGGGGAGAGAGGAGGATTGTGTAATGTCTATGGTAATGGGGACTGGATAGGGCTGCTGGAGTCAGTGCACTGAGTGGGAACAGTGGGGGATGGGGCGGCGAGAGGGGCGCTGATGACAGGATGGTGGTGGTCATGGCTTTGTGGTCCGTGATGCTGCTAGTGGTGAAACTGAGTGTTGCACCATCCTTCCTGATAGCATTGTAGATGGAAATGAGGGCGGCATGGCAGGGTGTGTTGATAGCATAATGAGAGGTAATGGTGGCGGCAGTGCTCCTGTTGGTGACGTTGGGGTGGTAGTGGCCATGGTCATGGTGTTGATAATGTCAGACGCATGGTGGAAGTCACAGAAGTGATGTTGGCAATGTGGGACTGGCCATGCAGGTGGTGGTTGCTACATGATGGCCACAGAGAGGGTGTCAGCAACCTGGTAGTGGCCATGGAAGTAGTATTGGTGATGCCGCAGTGGCTGTGGATAAAGTGGCATGACCTGACTGGTTATGAAGGTGGTGGTGTGGTGGTGGGTATGGATGTGGTATCAGAGATGTGGTATCAGAGATGTGGTATCAGACCATGCAGAGGGTATCAGTGGTGCAGTGGTGGTTGTGGAGGTGGCGGTGATGAAATGGTGGTTGTGGTGGCCGTGAGGGCCGTGGTGACGATGATACCTGTACAGGTGGCAGGAATGGTGGCAGTAGCCGTGGAGGTAGTGACGGTGACATGGCAGGGGTAACACAGTGGTAGCTGTGGAGCTGTTTTGGTAACATGGAAGCAGTGGCGGAGGTAGTGGGAGAACGCTGGGGTAGGGATGGTAGCTGGTGGTAAAAACTTACTGACTGCAGATGCTATGGGCCTGGATTTGTTCACTGTATGATGGTGGTTCTGAGGGTGAAGGTTGTGGGCATACACATTGTGGGAAGAGGCTGAATCTGGAAAGATTGGCAGACTCCCTGTGGGTACCATCTCCCTTCCCCTGTGGCACAGGTCATGAGTCAGGCCACAGTAACCATATGCGTGTATGTGTCATACCATAGGTATGATAGGACAAGTAGGAGAGGAAGGCTTACACATGGAAGTCTGAGATGTCTTGGAGATGAGGCTAGACCAGCTAGGGTGGGTGTGAGGTGTGCATCATCTTGAACTGGGGGAATACCATGAGTGCCCAGAGCTCGGCAAGGGTCTAGTTCATCAGGCATCAGAATGCTAGCGCATGAGAGCTGTGGAGTCTTGGCGGTGCCCTCGTGACTGGCGGTGGGGTGTGACAGGCCAGGTGGATGTGTCTGTCAGAGCCATAGACAGGAATCTAAGAGAGAGACAGGGGTTTAGGGCAGGTATCAAGTACCTTCCTGAGCCAGGCAGAGTCAGCTGGACCCTGTTCAACAGGCCAGGTCACTTTAGCCATGGAGCCAGTGCCCACTGTCCTCAGGTTCCTCACTCTGTCCCACAAACAGCCATGACCTATGTGCCCTGCCTGAGTAACCCGAGAGGAGCCCCTAGGTAGGTATAGAGGGGGACAGTCTGAGACCAGAAACCCCAGTGCAGAGTGTCTGGCGCCAGATGGGAGAGAAGAAGAGATTGGTGTCTGGGTGGTGGGAACAGGAGAAGTCTCAAAGGCCCTGCACAGACTTGAGGTGCAAAGAGGGGCTCAGGTGGCGCCAGCTTCATAGTTAAGGGCACCAGAGCATAGGTCTTTGGATCTTGGAAACCTAGGCCAGGACTAGAGTCTCAGAAACAGGCCAAAAGGTGCCAACCAAGCAGCAGGATGGAGTGGCCAGACAGAGGTCGGACACAGTAGCCCGGCCCTCACAGGAGGAGCAGACTGAGAGCTTGGGCGTTCGAGCAGGCCTTCCAGAGGCAGCAGCATCTGTCTCGATGCAGAGTGAGAAGTCGGTAGGTGGGGCAGGGAAATGGGCACTCCTGATGGAGGAAGTGTGACTGAACAGGCAGGATCTGGGGTGGCGATGGATCAGGGAGTTGATTTCTGGGGTGCAGGTTGACATTGGCTCATGAAGGATCTCCAAGGCACAGTTGAGAACGCCTCAGCTGCAGAGGCTTCAGCCCCACCCCTGCCCAGAACCTAAGATCCCCCACTGGGGTGCGCTGTGCCCACTCCTGGCTGTTTTATACTGTGTGGGTGGATACCCTATGAGTCATTCATACTGGGGTGTGAATTAGCCCATCAGATCCAAGGGGACCCCGACAGGCGCAGTCCTATAATAGCACCCGCTCGTGGGTTGGCAGGAGGCATCACGATCCAGTGAGGGCCCTTGCTCGGTATGTGGGAGGTGGGCTCCTTGCTCTCTCTGCATACTGTCCCATCATGTTCCTCGAACACACAGGCCCTGCAGGCTTCTTCAGTCTTCGAACAAGTACAGGTGAATGCATACCAGGAGAGCAGGGCCAGAAGCTGAATGTGTGGCCAGCTGCAGGGTGCAGGGCTATCTTCTTGGGGCCTTCCAAACTTCTTGGGTCCACCTCTTTTGGGCACTGCTAGAGGTGCCTGTCAGGGGTTGCTGGGCAGTCAACTAGTTATGGCTTTCTTGGACCACCATCCCTGAGACCTATGACCCTGCTCTTGGAGCTGAGGGTAAAATGAAGCGTGGTGGGGGGCTGCACTAAGGATTGTGACTGCTTCCAGGTTTAGGGAGAACTAGACAGCCAAAGTTTGGCTGAGATTGGTGCCGGTCTCCAATGGTCCTGTGTGACGGTGGGAAGCAGTATGGCCTTGGATTTGAGTGAGGGCCGAGCCTGGGAAAAGTTCTTTGGGCAGAGGATGAATGGTGTGGGGTGGCAGGGGGAGCACGGAGCTGAGGCTGAGCTGGGATCCAGGAGCCAGGTAGTGGTGGCTCCCAGCAGGTTCCCATGGGGCCCAGGCCAACAGGAGGCTGCTGGGGCAGGTGAATTACATAGGTGCAGGCAGGGATGGGGACGTGGACACAGTTCCCGCAGATGGAGTAAGTGAGTGGTAGCCACAGAGCCTTCATCCTTCCTGCCTGCCTTACTTGCCTAGGGTCTGTACTGGGTACCCTACCTTACAGATATGCCTGCAAGGCAGGGGATGATCATGACCCGTCAGGACCTGTGCTTGGGGTAGAGGAAGTTGAATCCGGCCAGGGGGATCATCAGAAGTGGAGTGATGGGACAGAGACAGTCTCCACATGTGTGCTGGCATGTGTATCATTGGGCATCTGGGCAGGAGCTAAATATAATTTCCATGATAGGGAAAGGTCATTAGTAGCATGTAGAGAGATGGCCAGTGTCCAGACCCATCCTGGGGTGCTGGGACTGGAGGCCCTTCCCTCAGCCCTGTCTGAGGGTTGCAGGCCTCTACTTCCAGGAAGGGGTTCCTTGTTAGTACCCCAGACCCTTGCTACTCTGTGTTCAGGAAGGTGCTATTAACCCAGCCCCTTCTCTAGGCTTGGACCTGTTGCCAGGACATGGGGGCAGGTGTATAACTAACCCAGATTCTTTAGTTCTGGTCCAGGATAGGGACCTGGCTGGATGGCCCAGATTACATTTCTGAAGCTCAGAGGAGAGGTGGCAGTTGCCACTGTGGGAGCAGTAAGCAAGTAAGCAAGGAATGTCTGTGTGTGCTGCCGTTGATAATAGACAGCCTTTCAGCAGTATGCCCTGCAGTCAGACTTGGGGAGGAACTTCCAAATCTTAAGAATCGGGAACTGGGTACAAGAAGATGATTGCTCACATTTTATGAAAGGGAGGCTGAAGGTTCCTCCCCCCCCCACCCCCATGCCTTCAACATGTGGGATGTCAAAGTACACGTGAGTGTCCACCCAGTTGGGCAGACACACTTGAGCTGAAATGGTCCAGGGCTTCAAGGATGGCTCCATGGCTTCTCGGACTTAGCTCTCCTCCTGGTTTGGGTCCAGTTAGGATTCCGGCTTGCTGAAAGAACCTGATCAGATCTGCATTCAGCCAGGGTTCAGATGGGGACGGCTGGGGGCAGCAGTAGAGAAGAACTGGAATCTAGGCCCCGCTGCCATCTTGCTGTGTGGTCAGCTGTACCCACAGCTTCTTTTTAGTGTCTACAAAGCTGACCTGAGGCTGTGGCAGAGAATGGAAGATGAAACACACAGGCGCCTCAGAGCAGAGCGGAAGCTGGGGAGGGAGGTGAGGAGAGGACCTGTCCCTGGGCTGCACGTGGGGTGCCCACGATACTCCTAACACACGTGGCTCTTGACTGGAGGGGTGGGCAGGCAGAGGCGGGCCCGCATGGCAGTGTGGGCAGCTTACAGAGGCTAGCTCTGCCCTGGCTGGCTGGCTGACTGGCTGACTCTCTGGGCCTTCTCTGCTCTCCACAGCCTGGGACTGGAGAGTCTGGTCCTGGTGACCCTCAGCTGGGTAAGGCGGCAGCCGTTCCTTCCCTGCCCCTGGGAGGCTAAGCTAATTGATGCCACAGCAGAGGTCCTGGGCAACATTGACTCTCAGGCTGGCGGTCTTCCAGGTGGTGACCAGCAGCTGTCAGCCTGGCGCCCTGTGGACCTAACTTGGGCTTCTGGGATACTGCCAGGCTGCTAGCCCAACTCTCTCCACCCTGTGTCAGGGTGCTGTCCCCTGAAGCCTTCCCAGCAATCATCAGGCAGGTAGGATAGCTGAGAGCTCTATGTCCTGCTTTAGAGAGCAGTCACATGGCCAACAACACGGACAGGCCAGTGGTGGCATGCAGGCCCAGCACACAGGGCTTTCCTGGAATGTGTGTGCACTAATGACATTTTTGGTCTGTGATTGATCTGTTGTTTGTGGCATGGGACTGCCCCTATTCTACCCCCTAGCCTTGAGGGAGGGTACAATCAACCAGGACTCCATGGCTCCTGACTAGGAGTGGGCATGGAGGGAGTTGGGTAGCGGCTTGTCTGGATCTTAGAAACCTCTGGGGATAGCGCAGAACCTGGGTACTGTTCAGAGAAGGGGTCTTTCTGAGAAACCCGCATTCCCTTCCCTGTCCCCTTTGTACCTTAGCTCCTTTCCTGTAGTCTTCCTCAGTGGGGAAAATGTGGTTTTGCCCTGGGCTATAATCAGGGATGTATAGTGTGAGGTAGGCCAGGTGGCAGGCTGGAGACAAGCTATCAAAACAATAGGTTCTTGGAGTTGGTACTGTGGCTGCCCTTTGGGGAACCACAAAGTTCTGATGGAACAGAGTTCCAGGGCCCAAAGGCTTTCCTGAGAGTGAAGATCGTGCAAGAGTGGGACCTTTCCATGGCCGATATGTACTTTGTATTCTTCTCTTCCTGTGGGAAAAGAGGACACTTGGGTAGAATCTGGGCCTCAAATCCTGGCATTCATGGGCCAGGGACCTGGTAGCTCTGATGACCTACACCTCAGAGTGAGCTAACAAGCGTAGGGGATGGAGGCGGGGGTGGGGGGTGTCACACAGCTCAGAGCAACGCTGATGCTCCGGAGCTAGCCCCTGACCTAAGGCAGACTTCTCTGGAGTAATTCTTTCTGAGGGACAGAGGGACCCTGAGGGACATGCAGATGCTGAGGGTCTTGTGTCCGTGGACCTGACTCACTGGGTTGCTGAGGAGAAGGGAAAGGAAGTAAGGCATCACCAGGAATTAAAGGAGGGCTTGGGTTCCTGACATGCTGTGATTGCCAGCATGCATTTCAGCCAGGCACTGAGTTGTGCAGAGACAAGGAAACTGAGGCGAGGGGATAAAAGCAACCGTGCTCCGGCAAGTAGGAGACAGCTGATTCGGACCCAGGTATCTGGCTAGTCTTTCGGTTCTTAGCACGCATGTGCATGGGTCAGGGCTATGTGTTGGTCGGTAAAGCCTCCACTGACACTGTGGAAGTGGCCTGGAAGAGGCATGTCCTGGCTGGGAATGGAAATTACAGCCTGAAGGCTTCCTGGGTGCAGAGAGGACCTCTGGCTCGCTTTCCAAAGCTTTGGACTGGGAAGGGTTCAAGAGACCACTCCCACCTGGCACTTTAGTAAGCTTGAATCCTGGGGTGCTTCTGGGACAGGAACAGAACTGAGTCACAGAAAGGTGCCTCCTGGCACTTCCTCCAGGGCAAGCTTAGCCCCAGGGCGACAGGGTGAAGGATGGAAGCTGGCAACTTTCTGAACAGGGAGTGTCTAGCTGGTAGGCCCCAGGGGAATGTGGCTCAGTGGCGGCAGAAATGGGAGGAGGGGTATTTGCCCGAACCCTTCAGATCCTGGCGTGCCCAGAACATTTGCTTTACTTTACTTTGCTTTACTGAAATGGGGCCAGTGGAGGCCTGGAGGCAGCAGGAGGGGCCAGGGTCAGCGCACAGAGGGAAGTTTCCAGCGGCGGGCCGGCTCCCTGCAGGGAGAGCTGCGCTAGTCCGGACTGGAGCGGCAGACACCCTGGCGGCCAGGCCTGGAGGAGGCTGCCGCGCGGGATGGAGCCGTCCCAAGGTCACCAGCTCCGAAGAGCCCTGGGCTTTGGGGCTGGGGTGCTCCGGGGCGGCCCCTCGCGCGCCCCCGCGCAAGAGCCTCGGGCTCGAGCGGTCTCTGCCTA